AGCAGAAGTAATTGTCAGTTTAGAGAAGGCAGCTTGTTAGAGATTTGTGACCAAATCAATAGAAAAGTCTCTATTCCCAAACCAAAATATAATTCCTCTTTATGTTGATCATTAGCTCAACACTGATATATTTCTCTGAAAAGTTTTAGAAAAAAAAAAGGGGGGGGGAGTCAACAGTTTCTTGACCACAAGACAGGAAAATAAACTGGCAAATTTGATCCAATCTCATGATGTTCTAATCTTCCTAAAATGGCTCCAGGATAGCTTGTTGGAAATTTTGGTTCACTGTATATCCTACAAAAATGAAACGAAATATTTGTATGTGCACAAGGAAAACTATTAAGGGACAATCAAGTTACTGTAACGTAATGAAAATGTAAGTTATAGGCATGGATTATTCTGAATGAGGAGATATTTTAAACAGGGTATTTGAAATTATAAAAGACTGCATGTGTCCAAGATTACGGTAATAGAAAACACCTCATAGCCTAGTCTAACTCCAATTGTTTATAATAAAGCATAAATGGAGATGTTCAATAGCCAAAACTTTGTGGAGGAAGGACAAGGAACAAAAATCAGCAATATACAGTTTTGAGGTTTTCATGTATCCACAAGTTACTTTAGCCTATTATAGTGTTTATAACTCATCCTATGAAGAAAATCAGACTACCATTGGTTTGTGAGTTTGAAAAGCCAGAGTAAGGTCCAAGAGAGTTCTGGAAGTAAAAGGAATTAGGTAAGACCTGCCTAGTTCAATGATTTGTCATGAACTCACCAAACAGCCACTAGCAGGAAGGGCTTTTCCAGTCTGCTATGAGGATCACTCGATAAATATATCGAGAAAAACCTAAGTACTAAGGGACCACCATACGAAAATGAGGGGGGGGGGCGACGACACGGGGGCAACCGAGACAGCAAGCCCTCGGTAGACAAAGTTTTAATCCTGTCGTCGACAGGAGGTACCTACAATACTACCTGATCTTTGCGGCACGGAAGAAGAAAGAGGAGCAGCACTGCCCTCACCAGCCTGGCTTTGTTTCTTTCCCCTAGAAATAAACGCAGCTGTCCATCTATCTCTCGACCTTCCCCCTAACCTTTCTGGATGCGGAGCTGCGCGGCAGACGCTTTCTTGGTGGAGCCTTTAGTGCCGCCAGCCGATTCCTCTTCCTTCTTTTGCTGTTTCAGCGAGAATAGCTTGATCATCTTGGCTGGCTCCTGGTGCCTTGGCTAACTGTTGTTTGGCCCTTCCGGCCCCGGCCTCTCCCAGTGGTTACCGCAGCCAGGCCCAACACACTACTGGCCGGCTCTTGAGAAAAGAGAGAGAGGTTAATGCGGGGGGGGGGGGGGACGGCGACTCCCGCGGCCTGGCCTGTCTTGGCCGGCCGAGAGAGACGGGACGATGAGGGCGGGGAGGCCGAGCCAGGGAAAGGACCAAGCAACCGAGGGAGTCCCGCCTCACAGCGCCGCCACCGCTTTTCCTATTGCTTGCTCCGTGTGTAAGTCTGATTTAAACGCACAGTCGTTTTCGGCCCTTCCCGGAAGAGCGTCGGCAACTTCCGCCATACACTCAAGCTCCACCTACTTGCCGACTCTCCAAAAGTATTTGGCTGCCTTCGGTGGAGAAAAGTGACGCTTATAGAAACTCTCGGCCTTTCAAGTTCAGGGCTCGCCCTTCCTTTTTAAAAATATATATTTTATTTATACATTTTTCTTAACATATATAAGTATTTAGTAAACAGTGTATTGTCTGTGTCATTTTACATATACATAATTCTAGTAACAATAATATTCTTTGCTTGTATATAATAATATTCTTCCAATTTCTAATTTCTACCTTTATTGTCTAACCATTGATCAAACAAATCCCAACTTAAAAAGTATTCTGTATCTTCTTTATACTTTATCTTTAATGTTAACCTATCCATTTCCGCAGTCTAGTATTTTGTTGATTGTATTTTCATCTGTAGGAGTTTCCTCATTTTTCCAGTATTGTGCAAATACAATTCTCGCTGCTGTCAAAACATGCAATATTAAATATACATTCCCTTTGTCGTAATTTTCTGGCAATATACCTAACAAAAATATTTCTGGCTTTAGCTCTATATGTTGTTTTGCCATTTTCTCTAACTATGTATGTATTTTTGTCCAATTATTATTATTTTTTTGCTTTTGGACATGTCCACCACATATGATAGTACGAACCTGGTGTCTGCATTTCTAACATTTGGTGGACATATCTTTAAACATCTTTGCTAGCCTTGCCATGGCAAATGCCACCTGTAAAACATTTTATAAAGATTTTCCTTGTAAGTAGTTGCCATTGTCAAGTTATAATTTCTATCCCAAAGTTTCTGCCATTTATCTAGTTCTATAGTATATCCCAAAAAAATTACCCATACTATTGTAGGAAGTTATCACCCTGCCCTCTCCCAGAAAGGCCCGGTGGGAGGGGAGGGGAGAGAGGGGAGGGGGAGGCGGAAGGGCTTTGGCTCCCCTTGGCGGAAATGGCCGAAGCTCGTCGGAGGAGGGGCGGAAAGGGGAAAGGGTGCGGCTGCAGCCCAACCACACATATAAAGGGACTGTTGGGACAAAGCTGGAAAGAGGCTGAACTGTTCCGAATATACTATACTCACGAAATGAGCGCTATGGTAAATGACACAGCTCAATTCCAACGCAATGTCACANCGGTTTCTGTGCTGTACCCAGGCCTGAAACCAGATTGAAAGGAATCCAGATAATCTATTCTATTGTTAGATGTCCATTTCAAATCCTGGGAGATTATAGGACCCAAAACCTTTAAGAATTCTACTGCTGATATTGTCCTGTCAAATATAGTAAGAGGTAGTAGAGTAGAAAATCTCCTAAAATCCACCCTGACCTCTACATTTTTAAGCATGGTCAGCTCCAGATTGTTCTGGCTGCCCCACAGGGCTAGTTGTTCAACCTCCTGTCTATATGCAGAGTCTTCACTGTCACAAATGAGACCAATGACACTTCTATCATCTGCAAACTTCAGTATTTTAACAGAGGGATCCCTAGAGATGCAGTATTTTGTATACTGTAGAGAGAAAAGAGCAATGGGGAGAGAACACAGCCCTGAAGGGTGCCTGTGCCAGGTACTTGATGTGATTTTTCCTAGCGTCACCTGCTGCTTCTTATCTATCAAAAAGTTAATAATCCACCTACAAGTATGGAGAGACACAGCTAGATGAATCAATGAGTGAAGGATTTCTGGAATTATAATATTCAATGCAAGCTGAAGTCTACAAAAAGGACCCATGCATTGGTCCCTGGAGATGTTGCAAGATGTAGTGCAGTGCCATATTGACAGGATTATCTGCTGATCTATTTGCTCAGTAGGCAAACTGCAATCTTGTCTTCTTTCCTGCAAGCCTCCTCTTTGGCATGATGTAGTTACTTGAGCTTCCGGCTGTCCCACAGAGCTAGTTGTTCAACCTCCTGTCTACAGTATATGAAGACTCATCACTGTCACAAATGAGACCAATGACAGTTCTATCATCTGCAAACTTCAGTATTGTAACAGGGAGAACCAAGGTATATTATATTATTACATATGCACAAACTCTTGGCAGGCATATACACGTTAGCCACAAGCTAACATATGTCACAATATCAGTGAATTCATCCAAGACTTCAGTATTCCACGTTGTTCACTTTAATGAAAAAAATAATTGAAAACATTGCAAACTTAAATATTTTTATCATGTAAGTCTAGAAGAACTCACTATGAGTTTTATATTTATTTATTTCAATTATTTAGATTGTTATCCCACCTTTATTACTTTATAAGTAACTCAAGGTGGCAAACATTCATAATACTCTTCCTTCTTTTCCCCACAACAACCACACAATGATTTATACATCTGATTCCCAGTAAAACAGCAGTCTCCAATCTTTGTGCCTTGGCAGCCCGGCTGGGGGCTGGGGATGGAGGGAAAGGGGAAGTGGGTGGCACAAGAAGCAGGATGGATGGTGCATGCACATGCGCACCCACGCAGTCCTTGCACAAGTGGTGCGCTGGCATGCATGCATGCAGCTTGGCTGCACTCAAGTGCCCATTGTGTGTAAAAATAATTGTAATAAAATGAGGGGAAGGGTGAAAATCATGTAAAACGTTCTCTCTCACACTGCCTCAAAGCTCGAAGGGAAACAGACTGTACGTACCATTCTGCTCCACTCTAGATATTCTGACAACAGCAGTGGGAACCAAAAAGCTCCTAAAGGTAATGCACTATATTTATTCATCTAAAATGCAATGATCAATGAATATTGCAGAGGATCTGAAGCAACATCTGATATGTACATCCAATGGTTCCCAATGAAGATCATGCACCATCTCCCACTGCCTCCTAATGTCAACCTAACTCTTTATAACAGTGGTTCCCAAACTTGGCAACTTTAAGACTTGTGGACTTCAACTCCCAGAATTCTCCAGCCAGAGCTGGCTGGAGAATTCTGGGAGTTGAAGTCCACAAGTCTTAAAGTTGCCAAGTTTGGGAATCACTGCTTTATAACAAGGATAAAAAAAATATGGCAGCCTTATTGTGCAAGAAAAAAAAAATTCCCCATAAAACATGTTACCAGAGATTACAGAAATCTATCACAACTGTAGAATACACATGAGTTTATATTAGGACTTGCTTTTTTAAAAACAGCATTTTTAAAGAATGAAAAGAATTCCGTAATTCCTATGTGTTTATATGTTGGATAAATGCTGTAGTTACATGTGTAAGAATATGCACATGCTATATAATGATGGTATTAATTCAAATCTCATCGAATCAGAGTGTTGAAAGAGGCTATTGAGTCAACATCCTACTCAGGATAGGAATCGAAATTATCCCTAGAAGACAGCTCTTCAGCTTTGTCCTGAACATCTCCTACAATGGAAATCCTACTATTTCTTTGGACAATTAGTTCCACTGTTGAATGCTCTCTTAATTTTATTCTGTTATTTGAAGCTCGATATTTACAACCAATTATAATATATTTCAGCTTTATTTTTCTTCTAGGGAACATGTTACATCAACAGATCCTTGGAAATCAGTTTGCCAATTACTTCTCCTATTCATGAAATAATGAAAAAGAGATGATTTGGGTTGTCAAAAGACATTTTCCATTCAGAAGTAAGGAAGTAAGAAGTAAGGAAGAACTTTGATTCAAGTTTTATCTCTTATTATGATATATGCAAAAATATTTTTATGATTACTGTCTTGTCATTCCTTTACTCTTATTTGTATGTTCTTATTTTAAAATTGTACCATGATTGTTTTAAATGGTATTATTTAATCTATTTATGCCGCTGAGAGCATTTAAATTGCAACAGCATAGAAATATGCTTAATAAATAAATATATTTGCATAGTTAGGCAAATGACTTCTGGATTTCTGTATCTGCAAATACAACTTGCCTTGAAGATTTTTCAGTACAATTTGTTGTGCCATGGTAGGGCATATTGGAGGTGCTTTTAAAATATTTTTGTTATTTATGCCAACAGAATGTTGTTCAGTGGGAAGAGAAAATCGCTGTAGTACACCTTTATACATTATTCAGAGTCCTAGTTAAAGACTGAGAGCGGTCAGAGAGAGAATAATAAACTTGACACAGTACAGATCTCTTGTGGAAAACACTGGACCAAAGAAAGGAGACAGCGGCAATATAAATCATTCAGGCTGGCACACGCTAAAAAATGAAAATCATGCCTATAGGGGAAGGAGACTAAAACATCTAAGGCAAGCTATAACATATCTCAGAATCAGTTTTCCAAGTAAGCATGGTTAAGTGCAGGCTGCTACTCTTACACAGGATATACTGATGCTCTCTTCTGGTAGGAATTGTTGCGTTTTGGAACAGGCTGGAGATGCGTAAGAAGCTTGCTTGCTTGCTTACTTGCTTGTGGTTGCATGTCGCCTCTTAAGTTCAGTGTTTTCTGTGCTCAGATGCAACTGACCTAAATTTTACACCAGCAGTTCACTTAAACTGCATCTAAATACTTAGGTAAAGTAGCCATATTAAAGATGAAAGTTCCCTCACTTGGGCTGCATTCTTGACAGTTCATGTAGGTTTTTTTGAAAATAACATAGATGTAGCATATTATTGCATACTGCTATTCTTTCAGATCATTTTAACCTCATTGTCTACCCAAAGCCTTGGAGTTTCCTGGTAATGTCCATCTACATATCAACCAGATCTGGCATGCTCAGGGTGTCTCAGATCAGACAAAGTTAATTAGGCATTGCCATTGCTGTATAGATAATAAATTCAATGCAAGGATTTTGTGTACAGTAGTGTATAGCAGATATCATAATACATTGATTAGTATTTTATCAATTGTAATGTATCAGGCTCTTTATTGTTTTAATTAAAATGCACAAGACTCATTCTGGCTTGCCTTATTAGAAAGGAAGAAGGCACTCTCTAATAATGCAGCACTTTGACGAATAGCAAGAAGTGTACAAATTCACCTTGGGTCCCATTCTGAGGCACTGGCAATCTGCACTCCATTGAATATGCATTTTAAGTCTGGCTCTTAAAAGAATATAATCATTCACAGTAATCTAAAATAAATTTTCATAAAGAAAAGAAAAAGAAAGCATATTACAGAGAAGCAATGAAACTCACTTAAGTAGCAAAATATAAAAGAGGAATTTGGAATTCATAGAGTAATTTGTTTGCTGGATTTATTATAGTTTATGTTCACTTGCCTGCATTTCAAACCGAAATAATTTTCTGTCACTCTTTTGGTTTTAGAATAAGTGCCAGGCTGCTCAAATAAGGATAGGCTGAGAGATGATGAAAAAGGTAACTTACATTTGAATACAGTCCCTTATATGCAGCTCAATACCAGTAGAAGAATAATATTTACAGTACAGTATTTACAACATTTAGAATGAAACAGAATCTCATGCTGTTCTTCTCCACATCCTGAATGGTCACATTTTCCTCTCAGATATAATGTACAATTATTAACCTGTGTCAAAGATCTTGATTTGGAGGCAAACCATAATTGTAAGGCACATTGAAACAGAGGTTGTTTTCTCCTTAAACAAGTCATTTTCTAATTACTTATCTCCTAAAGAAAAATCATATTTTCTATTCAGCTGTCCTTTGAGTTGATGGGAAATCTTCTCTTGGCAAGGAAACAGGGAGTTAGTTAACTATTACGAAAACAACCTGCTGACTGACTTCCTGAACTGAATGACCCTTTGTGGATCTTCATATGTTTAGATAAGTGGTCACTGCGGGCAAATTTCTTCTCGCATATTTGACACTGGTAAGGCTTGAGTCCAGAATGGGAGCGCTTGTGACGAGAGAGCTCATCTGAACGGGAAAACCTGCCAGACAGAAGAGGAAATATTTGTTTATTGCACATGTGTTAAAACCAAAGAGATTGTTGCTTTTTCCCCTGTGCCATCAACACCAAACCACAGAATGCAGAAAAGTTTTCTGAGATATAGAAAAGAAAATCAAATCAAAATCTTTATTTGAATCTCAAGAAACCAGTATTTTTCCACATATGAAATGTCCCTCAGAAACCAAATGTTGGCTCATATAAATTCACACATATACATTATGTATGTAGCATGTTGTTGTATATGACTCAAGGAGAGAGGACACATGACACCTCTCCAGTTCACAACAATAAAGGCTTATGTTATTTTATTTTTGTGTACATTAGGTCTTCTCTTTTGCTCTTATACTTTCTTTGGTTTTCATATGCACATTATTTTCATATGCAGATTTACACACCCAATCTTCCTACGAAGTCTTGCAACACAAATATTAATAAAGCCATTGTGCTTTTGTGCAATACCATTTCTCTATTTAGAATATGACAAGAGATACAGAAGGAAACATCGCTGGTCCATTGTTACGTAACAATTCAGAAACAGGCTAGACATGATCTCAAACTGGGCTCAGAACACAAACTGCTCCCTAGCAGATTTATTTCCCTTTTAATTGGAAAGGAATCTTTGTTCAAATGTAAAGATATAAGGCAAGTATTGGGTAACATGCACCCATCAACCTAATTTCAAAACTCTCTCCAAGCAATCTGTTCAGTTCTCTGATTTGAGCAATCTGTCTCTCTTCTTGGTTGCCTGGATGAATTTTTAGGGTGGTGGTGCGGGAAAGAGACTGTCTCAAAAGAGAGAGGAGAGAGAGGGGGGAGGGAGAGGGAGGGAGGAAAAGAGGGAGAGAGCAAAAGTAAACTTTCTAAAGGGGTGAGAGGTAATCCTGCTGCCGTGGCTTCTGGCTATTGCCTACCACTGACTTAGCTCTATCCATGACTCACACAGAACCTTCACCAAATGACCTTTCCAGTTATGTGGCTCTTGACATAATAGGATACCAATTCTAATGGAATAATGTTAACTTATTTTATCCATTCACTCAGGAACTGCAGCCTGGTGGAAACCAATTCCAGGCTATAAGCAATAGCTCTTACTAAAGGTACATTTATAAGGCTACACATGTATTTATGATCAAGGCCCATCACCTTCATCATAATGACACCACTTCTGAGCAATTATCTGACCTCTAACGATGTCAACTCCAAAGCTGATAAAGTTGATAAAATAATGTAAATTAATAAATTTAAATAAATTAAGAGCAGACATGCACACCTATAAGGCACATGGACATCATAGTAAGTTTTTATTTGACTAAATATGTAAAAAGAGAGCTTTGATTAGCTACAGTCCTCCAATATGTATGTATGTGTTGAAGTGTGCCAAACTATTTGCTTTAGTTTTATTCATTCATTTATTTTATTACTAACTCCTTTGCATAACTACGGTCTGAGTCTCTCGGGAATAGGGCGGCATACAAACTTAATAAATTGAAATCTTCCCAAGGCAGTTTACAATAAGAAAAGTTACAGTTGGTAACGTCATAGATTATCTCTACAAACTAGCATCAATCATTAAATTTAAAAAAATTGAAGAACAATGAAATATACAGTAGTTCAAGGGTTAACCATACATATAAGTAAAACTGTTGAAAATACTATCTGATAGTCCTCGTTAAAAAGAGAAAAAGAAAGAAAGTTCTTTCTACACTTCAGTATTGCATATTACAAAGACCAAAGATCTGATGCTGGATAAACATCATTTCTTTAAAATAGCTTTATAGTACTCATCATTTTCCTGACCTGGTTCACATATTGTGTTACCATGTTATGCAAAAAAAAAACCCAATTGTGGTTTATTAAACAAACTATGATTTAGTTGAAGAAACTACAAGTCAAGCTATAGGCTGTGTTTAATGCTGTATCGAGCCCTTGGATTAGAATCAATCTAAGATCAATTCTTTTTATCCTTCTTCAATAATAAGCAGTTTAAAACAGAACCAGCATAGCTAAGAAACAAACTTCTGAATACGATTATTAGATAACTAAAGTTTGCATCAGGTTTCAAGCTATAATTTGTCCTACCTATTTAAACATATGAGTTACATATGTAGGGTTGGGTATTCTTGGTTCATTTACTCAGGCCCCTTTGCCATTTTCAAGGTCTCACAGAAATAAAAAGGGCAACCGAGACTGGGTAGCTTGTTCTTTTCAAGCTCTATCAAAGACTCAACTCTGCCACTGTTTAGATCCAGCTGGATAAAAAACCAAGAAATGTACTGTGGTATAATAGATTTTGCCACCTCCTAGTTTATTTGTTTAAGTGACTCTCATTAGAGGAAACACAAGAGCAGCTCTGGATCAAAGATAAATCTAAAATCCAAATGTTCCACAGTGACCAATCTGGGTTTCTTAGCAAGCCAGAAATAAAGGAGGAAGGTAACACCATATTCTGGCTTATATCCATTGATAGATGAAAATAATATTTATTTTTTGCCTAAATGGATCTGATTCACCTAATCCAGAATCAACCTGACCAGAAGGGAACTAAAATCTCTAGAGCATCCACTTCCGTGAAGCAGCATAGTTTCAAACTAAGAGAGTGCATTCCTGGTAACCAAAACATGATAGAAACATTTAACAAGGCTTACATAAGATAATGTAGAATCTGAAATATGTTCCAGTCATAATTCCTCCCACTTGCATTTTCATTTAAAAGCAACTCATTGTCAACACATCAGAGGAATCAGCAAAGATCCATTTCTTAATATATTTACCAGAGTTCTAGAGGGGAAAAATAACTACATTATTGCAATAAAATGGGAATGGATCCAAAGTTATGTAGCTGAAAGAGTGAAAGCAAACAGATTCTCCAAAGAACCTTTCAGCATGATTCTTGATAGTAGAATAGACTAAGAACTGTAGAAAACGGCAAATGAGAGTGTGCCAAAGTGGGAAAGAGTAGTTCACCATTTGTTGTGGCATGTACTTAAAACTTGCAGTTCTGTAGAAATTATGGATTGGGGTACATTTCCTACTGAAGAAGCCCTCATTTTCCAAGTTTGTCCGCAAAATAAGAATTGATAGACTAATCTTCAGGTGGATCAGCTGTGGATATCTCACACCTAAAATAATTCACAAGTTTCCCTAAAGGTTGCTGGTCATAAGACCATTAATTTCTTTCACCATATTTGAGGGACAGAATTTGTTCTTTTAGTCAACAGTAATTTCACCATTTGGGATGCCAGAAGTTTAGCCAGAAAATAATTTTTTAAATCACTATCCTCTTTACAAATGAATTAGCTAGTTCTGAATGGACAATCTGCTCCATGAAAGGATTTAAATTCTTAATGTATAGAGTGGAACAGGTTCAGTCCAGTTCTCTGGGTTTCTAGGCAATAGCATGTGAATCACAGCCAGCTATACCAGTATAAAAGGATTCATTACACTCATCTCCACAAATGAATTACATGTTCTTTCATATTGTTTCTCTTATTTCGAATTGTAAAAATCTGGATGACCTCTGGATGGTAGTTCAAAGATTCAGAAATCAAATTCTTTGTTCCCCTTCTGAGGTTATCTGGCATCTTTAAGCCCAAATATGATAACCCTGTTCTTATCACAGAACTGTCACTGGGACAAACAACACAGCTCTGCCAATTACAACAAAGCTCCCTGTAAATACAATTACACACCTGTTAACAGCAGCCTTTCTCCACATTTGGAAAGTCTCCACTGATGCAATGACAAACAGACAACTGAAAATTTAAAACTGTACAAACTCTTAATTGCTTGAAGAAGAGATATATCCACATAAATGTAATTTTCCAAAAATATAGCTAGAACTGAAAAGACCAGCATAACTGCATAAATAAATTGACAGTCTGACACAGTCCATGAGTGGATAATTCTTTATCAGAAGAAAATATGTAGAGTGCAAAACTTTCAAGAGTTCCAGAACTATTCGTCCAGCAAGTATACAAGAAGCAGATGAGGGGTGGGGAGAGGAGGGATAAATAAGGTTAACGTAAAGATGAGGTCATGAAGTCCAATGACCTACAGACTAAGTTAGGATTCTGGAGGAAAGAGAAATAACTATGAGGAACTAATTCATGCTGCCTTTGAAAATGTACATTAAACACAATCCCAAGAGATGGGAGGCTAACCTTAAGGTTTTCCAAAACTGTAGCACACCAAGCAAAAATTCAGCAGCTGAATCTTTTCTCAGTCCTGCTAAGAAGGAAAGAAGTTATTTTACACCAGGCTAAATTACTGTAAGCTGCCAGGCAGCTGTAAAACGAATCAAAACCTTGTGAGTAGGGAACAGAAAAAGACAGAGAAACTATTGTACAGTATGTGAATCAGCCTCTCACCAAGACTGGACATAAGAATTGCCATGCCTGTTTAACCTTCCAGTTCAACATTCTGTTCCTGAGAGATTGCACATGGGAAGCCTAACAGAAAATTATACTGTTCATGTTTGTCAGCAAATGATTGCAGATTGCTTTAACCGTGGACTGACAGCCTTTGATAGTTTTACCTTCCCAGAATTTGTTTAATTCCTTTTTAAAGCTGTGGAAGTTGGCGGACTTCAGGGAATCCCATGCTAATGAATTTCAAAGTTTATTTATGGTGCTGTGTGAAAAAGTACTTCCCTTTTTCTATCCTCATTTTTTACTATTTGGAAGGCATCTCCCAAAAGAAAGAGACAAACATGTGTCTTTTTTGTACACTAAACGGTCCATATTATTGTAATCTTCCCTTGTGGGCAATTTGAATATTTTAACTGCCATATTTTGTATCTTTTCCAACTCTGTATTAAACATACAACACCATAGCTGCACACTATTGTTTATTTAAAAATTGCTTCATATAATTGTATAATAAGATACTGTTAACCACATGAAGAATAATTATCCAAGTATTAACAAATGCTTACAAAGTTGTTTCTGTCAACTGTGTTGAGATCATGTGTACGTTTTTCAGAGCAAGTTAATACTTTTCAAATTATTTTTCAAGCAAAGTATGATCTGTATTTGGACTACAATCCTAAAGAGTTTTATAAGTCTCACTGACTCTATTGGGAATTTCTTTTGTGAAAATATATGTGGAATTACAGTGTAGGTTCAAAGAAATAGTAATAGAAATGACAGAATTCTAAGACCATTACATCTATTTGAAATGTTTCATTGAACAGTGAACTATGCTAAAAACAGTAAGCCTATAGTTATAAAAGCAGCGAAAGATGTAGCTGGAGAACTTAGTTAAGAAAGCGGTTTTCACTGTCACCCACTTACCTCCAACCACAGTCAGGCCATGTACAAGTATAAGGCTTTTCTCCAGTATGACGTCGGAAGTGTGCCTTAAGATGGGAACTCTTAGTGTACATCTTGGTGCAGCCAGGATGTGTACACTTGTGGACTCGAATAACTGAAGGGGAAACTTTGGGGACTTTGGTCTCCATACTCTTTGTACTTCCAGGAACTTCTGGCCTCAATGTGACAGGCAATGGAGCTATTCGTACATACTTCTGATCTGTGCCTTTCACAGGACTTGGAGTGACCTGGGGATAAACAGTCAAGTTTTGACTTTGCATTCTAATGATCAAGTGGGCCACCGGAATACCACCCACAGAATTCTGGATGGATGAGCTATCATCTGCTTGGCCAGGCTGGATCTGAAGGAGAACAGGGATTGATCCCATGGTTCTATGCATGCTTATATCTCCAGATGCTACACCAGCCTGAACAGAACAAGAAACACCTTCATCTAGATCAGTTCCAGTAGCAGACTCTTCCCCTGCACTGCTTAAGTTGATTTCAGATTTTATTTCAAGTTGCCCCCCTGGTTGGCTGTCATTCAGTTCATCCTTGACAAGTTCTTTCTTCTCATTGAGGAACTCCTCGATCTCTTCCAATGTAGGGATGAAATCTCTAGAGACATCTGAACAAAAATCTGGCAGTTTGAGGTAAGCCTCATAGATGGTATTCTGTGATTTCTCCACTTCCTTCTTTACCATTGACAACGAGACACCCACCTCTGATGTAGAAACTGTGTTTGAGGTAGCAGCTGGGACAGATACTTGTTCATTGCTGCAGTCCGGCAGTAAATTTAATGGTGGCATGTCAGGCTGGAAAACATCTAATATGATATCTTGCTGATCAAAAGCTGGGGCAAGCAATGGACCAGAAACAGATAGCAGTTTGCTATGACTTACTGAGACCATGGATTGATCTATTCCCTCATAAAAAGATGAACTGCACGGTGTGTATTCAAATCAGATGGAAATGAAGGCCTTGGGAAATCTATAGATCCACCTGCAAGAAAATAACCACAAACTTGTCTAAAGGTATCCACATCTAGCTGAAATAAAATCAAGATTTAGAAGATTTTTGGAAATTAATTTTATAGGGACATCCATTCCAATTCAAAAAAAATATCCCTGAAACATACTACACCAGTATTCAAATATCCAATGACTTTCTAGTTAGCAATAAACTCCTACTATCTAATATTATTATGTTAATAAAGCCATTGATCTGACATAAAATCTATCCTTATCTTTTAATTATTTGGTCAGTGATACATTGGCATTTTCTTTTGGCTCTGAATTTTATTGCATTCTTCTTAGTATTATTCCTGTTATATATAAAGAAAAAGCAAGATAAAAATGTAATAACTCAACATTTCTTATCCTTTTGATTTTCAATTCCAATGTGCAATTATAGGGTTTAGATTTTGATATGTTATTGCATTATGATATATATGTACAAAATCAATTTTAAAATAAAAAGATATTTCTGTAAAAAAAAGATAAAAGGTAAGCCCAGACTCTTATTATACTATAGTCATATACAACACTCCACAATATATTATACTCTGTATCAAAAGATTCAGTGAAACAACTCAATGGGACAAATAAGCATTGAAGTACAAATAAAATCCGCATCACCATATATCTGTCAGGTTACACCTGCAGACACAGCTGTCCCTATGCTAGAATGGGACAAATTATTTTTTAACCAGAAGTTAATCTTGTTGACATGCCTATGCTCTCTGTTCAGTAGAACAGAAAATGGCTCAGAGCAAGTATACACTTTTTCTGGCACACACATAAAGTAAAAACTCGATTCTACATATTACATGGCACAACAAATCTAAATTGGTATTTATCAGTTTTGCAGCCTGATGAGAAATGAGAACCTTCTTTCAACCATGTTTGGTGGTAGTGATGTAGTAAAAATGTTTCCCTCTCCAGCTGTGTCTGACTCTAGGGTTGGACTCATCTGTGTTTCTTGGACAAGGAAGCCAGCATTGTCTGAAGACAATTTTCATGGTCATGTAGCCAGCTGTATGCCAAAGGAGCATGGAATGCTATTACCTTCTCATCAAAGTGGTACCTATTAATCTGTTTGCATTTGCATGCTTTTGAACTGCTAGGTGGGCAGAAACTGGGGTAAGAACAGAAGCTCATCCTTTATGCAGCACTTGAGTCTCGAACCTGGGCTGTCTGCCTTCCAGCAGACAAGCTCAGCATCTAAGCACTGAGCCATCACAGGGATGGGGTTAAAACCCAGAAACACATCAGAAATGTCAGCTCACGGATTTATCCATGTTTGATTTTCATTTCATTGCATACATGTATGTTCCTTTTGTGAAGATACAATTTTGTAAAACACGTTTTATCAATCCATTCAAAACCTTTTCAATCCACTTTCTCCTTATATTTTATACAATAGTAGCCATAACTGGATTTTTTTTTAAAAAAAGCAAACATGAATTCAAATTTGTGTAAAAAGATTTGGATGACCCCAAAAAACCCCATCCCAAGAATGTTTGCTCCTGTCCCACTCCTTAGAGTTCATTAAATGCTACAATTCAAAACTATCTGGATGTGTTCTGGGGGCTTAACCGAGAGAACACTTTTCCTTTAATGGCACTCAATCATGGCTTATCTTCGTGTGCCCCTTCCTGCAAGAAAACCTAATTACAGGTACATTCCTGAATAAACATACCCATTTTTGAGAACACAGAATTCAAAGGATTTCACTTCCAGCCCAAGGCAACATTCAGGTCAAAGACCTGGCATTACTCAATGCATTTTGTAACACACCATTCATAACAGTTGGAATGTTTTTTGATCCCACACCCACTGCAAGTGCCTGCAATGTAAGTCCAGAAATTGCAAGGAATTAGATCACCCTGACCTATCATTCTCCTCTGGAACATTTGGTTACAATCAAAACGGATGTTTCTTAACAGATTTGGTTAAGAAATATCCCAGTAAAAGCAAATACAACTACTTCTCTTCGGTTGCCGAGAATCAATATGGCCATGGACTCACCGTCACAGGAAGTGAGGCTAGCAGTCTTTACCTTTAAAGAACACTTTTGATTTTAGCTTTGGTTTACTGAAAACAGTCATTGTATTGGCTTAGTCACAATGGTAAGCCAGTCTGGGTTACACAATATATTAAGCCAAAAACCAAATATATGTATGATGTCTTAAGACTAATGAAAGGGACAATTAGAATTTACATTCAAAGAGAATATATTCTACAGGCTTGGAATTTTTAAAATCTAAACTATTCAAATTAACCATCTCTGTATATAGCAAAGGTATTTTCTTTACATTTCTTCCATTTTATTATGGCCAGGGCTTTGAACACTGGAACAGGCTTGTAGTGGCCATAGTAGCTAGAGGTAGTAGCAAGATGACTTCAGTCCAATCATTCTGTCTCAGCCCAACCTACCTCACAGGGTTGTTGTACCAGGGAAAAGTGAGATAAAGTAGTGCTACGTTTGGTACTTTGCACTCTAAACTAAAGGCAGGATATTAGACTAACAAATAAGCCAATACTTGAAAGGGCCTCATTTTGTGGGTTACAACAGAAATTAAACATGGTCCAGAACTCAAAATCAGATGGCCACATTTCACCGTGACCTATCAAAAGCGTGAACGTCATAAGCGCGCCGACAACACCGCGGCGCTAAAACCGCGATTTCAAAAGCGCGCCGACAACAGCGTGCCGACAGAAACACGATTTCATTTAAGGTAAGATTTACAGTTAGGTTTAGGGTTAGGGTTAGGTTTAGGGTTAGGGTTAGGGTTAGATTTAGGGTTAGGTTTAGGGTTAGGGTTAGGTTTAGGTTGAGGGTTAGGTTGAGGGTTAGGTTTAG